GCACTAGTCTGGACATCCAAAGATGCTTTCAAGTTGACCTGACTTTTTTTTTTTTTCAAGATTTTATTTATTTATTTGACAGAGAGAGACATAGCGAGAGAGGGAACACAAGCAGGGGGAGTGGGAGAGGAAGAAAGCAGGCTTCCCGCCAAGCAGAGAGCCCAATGTGGGGCTCGATCCCAGGACCCTGGAATCATGACCCGAGCCAAAGGCAGATGCTTAACATCTGAGCCATCCAGGCACCCCAAGTTGACTTGACTTTTGGTTTTGGAGAGACACACATACGGGAGGCCAAGGCAAAGGTATCTAAAAGCATAATCTGGGATGGTCCATCACCGTACTGAAGCCAAAGTGACGAATGTCAGGCCAGTGCCAGGCAGGGAATACGAAGGGGTGTCCGGTTTGCATCATCCCCAGATCCCAGAAGTACAAGAGAGGCAGGGACCCTTAAAGCCCAGGAACTCATGAATCTATTTGAAAAATCAAAAGCTTATTATTTCTCTACCACAGGCTAGGCATGGACATTTCAGAAATGAACAAGCCCTAGTTCCTGTCCTTAAGTTATCAAAGTATCCTATGCTCATTTATCTCTTTTCAAAGAGACCATCAGCTCTACAGACTGATAGGAGGAATCCCTGAGTCCATTACCAGCAGGCACTGCCATGTCTGTATTCTCCAGAACCAGCTCCAAAGTCCTATCAATGCCTCCCTGACACAAAACACTATGCATCTGGTCTACCTGAGGCCTGGACCTTCTGCTTCAAGCCTCCTCCCCATCGGGAAGTTTCTGCTACCGTGTAACACGAGCCATACTCACTGAAGCTTCAACGCATTCTACAGCAGATGATTTGAAGGGGGGTCAGCGGACCTCATCTGAACTGTGTCACTCGACAAAAACAACAACAACAAAGGCATTTAATTGAATGGACTGATGTCAGAGCTGGAACAGCCTGGGCTCAGTTGGAGACAGTCCCCATCTGACAGGCCCAGAGACAAATGGCTTTGACAAGGTCACATGTTCAATCAGAGACAGAACCAAGACATTTGTCCCTTGCTTTCTAGCCTAGTGGCTTCTCTGGCTATGTCTTGTGTCTGAGCACCACCCCAGAACCGGGCATAGTAAAGGGGCATCTGGAGGTCCAACGAGAATGCTTCCATCTCCCCGTGCCTACTCAACTCAAGCAGTCTTGGATGCATCTCCCCTCGGCCCATGCACTTCTTGTTCTTTCTCCAAAGGTAGGAGGCAATCACTCTGGACTGGAAGAGTGGATGGGAGTGTTCCAGAAGTGTGACAGTAAGTTCCCATCGAGAGGTAAAAAGTAGCATTAAAAGGAAATCATGACAACTGACAAAAACTGAATACAGACCATGCATTAAATAGTAGTATGGGTTTAATGTTAAAAGTCCTGATTTTAATAACTGCATTGTGCTTATGCTCTTAGGAGATACACAATGACATGTGTGGAGATCAAGGGCATGATGCCTCTACTTTATCCATACATGGTGTATATACATCTAATCTATATGACGTATAGCAAATATGTGAATATAAACATAGCATATCTATATCTGCATGAAAACCTGATGAATGGTGAATAAATTCATATGAATACATACATAGGGACAACGGAACAAAACATAAATAATTGGTGGATCTAAGTAACAGGTATACAAGCTTTCCTTGTACTATTCTTGCAACTTTTCAATAAATCTGAAATTATACCAAAATAAAGTCATAAAAAAATTCCTCTTGGGAGGCTTGGGGCAAACACCCTGACAGGTCTGGGGATCCCAGTGAGCATGGCAGGGGTCCCCCTCCTCGTCCCCTCAGCTCCCATGGCAGCAGACCCCTGCCCTCGTGGGCTGGGGGGAACACGGCCAAGGTGTGTGTGGACAGCACAAAGTATGCCCGTGAGACCGGCAAGCACAAGGCTCTGCAGCAGGAACGTGGATCAGGGTTGGCCTCAAGGTTCCAGATCTTATCAGCTGTCAGACCCCTGGTGGGACCATTTAGTGCTCTAGGGCTCAGTTTTGCTCCTCTGTAAAATGGGAACAACTACTCATCGCTCAGCTGAGTGAGCCCTGCCTGAAGTGAAAGAGCCTAGGCACCTCACCTGACACCTGTCACACGGAAGGTGGGGGTGGGGTGCCGCGCAGGTGCTAAGTGAGCACCTGAGTCGGTGGGGGCCGGGGAGTGGGTTCCCATAACATTCCTTCTGGCATCTGTGCAGTTCCTCCCTCCAGCGTTCTAACAATGTTACCATTGCACTTCAACTACACCACATTCCTCTCTCCTTCCTAACCTGGCCCAGAGTTCCCCTCGTTCCAAATCACGGCAAACTGCCACTCCGCGCTCCTGGACTTGGGACTTGGTGTCTGGCACGTTAGTTGTACTTCTGTCCATTTCCTCCCATCCCGCCGCCTGGGTTGGCCAATGGACTTGGTTTTCCCCTCCCGGTCCTCAGCAGGACTCCTAGCGGCTCCCAGGCCACTGCGTGGACATGGGCTGTCTACCCTCATACCTGACAGCTCACGCTCAGGACTGAACAACACGGCTGAGGGCGGGGCGGTCATGTGGGGAGGGATCTGGCTATGATCTGTTTGACAAGAAAAACCCTTGGCCTTCCCTTGGTTACTGGCAGCAGAGATGGATTTCCTAGTTAGATTAGGTACTTCCCAGTGCTTGAAAAAAATGAACACACATATACAGCCAGAGTTCTCGGGGACAGGAAACTCTGGGCTTTTTCATGGGATCAGAGACATCTGGGATGGGGGATGGCTATGCTAAGAGAAAAAGGCAAGCTGCAGAGGTGTCCAGAATGCATGATGTATTTACATCTTATATGTAAATGCTCAGAAAAAAACAACTATGAATATAATTGAGGAGGTGAGTAGAACTGGGGGTAGACAAAAGAGGGCTTTCATGTGGTCCGTGGAACATTTCTATACTTTTTAGCGTGTTTAAGGAAGAATGCATGCATATTTAACATATGTAATTAATAAATACTATAAATTATCCCAAAAAGTGAGAATATAATTGCAGGTGAAGGTCTAAAAGACACCATCTCCATTTCCTATCTCCGAGCAGCTGCCTTTTCAGGAGCCTTTGGGAAGGAAGCTCCATGGTTTTCTAGAAGCATCCGGAAAACTCGACAGGTTCCTGAGCACAGGTGTGTAAGCGGATGGAGGTAACCAGAACTACTCTGCTAAAGCTTTAAATGCCAAGGGGGTGTTGTGTGGGGGTGATGAGAGGCTGTGAGGATGGACCATTCAAAGTGGTCATTACTGTGCATGCAGACACACTTTTCCAGTCCTTTGTGGGGTTAGACATCTGTCCTGTCCATAACTGTGACACAAAGGCTAGAGTTAAATTCCCCTTCTACACACAAGCAGCGTCTGCTGGAGTTTGTCCAGTCATGAATGTGTGTATTTGCTATGGAAAGGAGGATAAGCAGTTTCCGCCAGCCCTGCCCCTCCCCCTAAGCAGTACCACTGACTGATCCCTTTCTCCCCACTCCCTCGAGAGGGGTAAGAACCTTGGCTTCCAGCTCTGCTTCCAGCATCTTGCTCCCTCCCTGAAGAGTGGAGACTGGGAGCTGGTATCAGAGATGGTCTGAGGACCTGGGCATAACGGGCCCCAAGGCAGTGCCACACTTAACAGAGACAGGAAAGGAGAAGCCCTCTGCTTTGCAAGCCCAACAGTGCAGGCACGCTGTACTTCCAGCCTGACTGACCACACGTCAGAATGGCCCAGGAGCTTGAACAAATACTGAAGCCTGGATCCTACCCCCAGAGATCCTGATTTAACTGAGCCGGGGTGCCCCAGCAGCAGAGGTTTCAAAAGCTCCTCAGGTGAATCTAATATATAGCCGGGGTTGAGCCCCGATCCCAGAACTGGACGATGACAACTTGACTGGCCTTCCCCGAAGCCTTCCCTCCTCCAGCACAAAGGCCCAGCTCTCAGGGCCCAGCTGCTCCCCGTCTCCAGCCTGTATTCTCCTGCACGACTCTCCCCTTAACCCACACCTCACTTCCCCCAGGATCTGCCTGGAAAGGGTGTCCCGGAGCTGAGGACAGGAGGCCACTGGTGACCCCGCTCAAGCTTCCTGAGCTCCTGCTTCTGCCCCCAGGAGGGGTGAAGGACGGACTCAGGCCCCTATGTCACAAGCACCCCATGCTCTTCTAAGATCCCATTTTTTCATAATTCATAGAGCACAGGCCCCAGTCATCCTCTCGGAAAACAGAATCACCAACCTGTTCTTACGAGGTTTTTCTTACAATTAGGTGTGCATTTCCAGCAACTCATTAAATGTACGCTCCTGATCATCTGAGCTCCTCATTTTGGTTAAAAATCCATTGGACATTACAGTTCCAGTTCAGCTACCCCATGTGCAGAAGGCTGAGCTCCACCCCCCACCCCGACAGCTGGCTGGTATGTGTACGGGGAACCCAAGTTCATCCTTAGTAACATAAATATGTAGCTCAGAAAGGAAGAGAATAAAACGAAGTCACAGAACTCAGCCTTGTCACGGAAAATGAGACTCAGCCTTTGAATTAATCAAGCTCAATCACTTTGCCTTATTAGTATGGGTAATTAAGAGACTGCCTTCTTCTTCTTCTTCTTCTTTTTTTTTTTTTTAAACACAGAGTGTATGGGGGAGGCGGCAGGTATGACTGGGTGGTGATGAGCGTGAGGCTCACTTGTAGGGACGGCGGCCACGGGTGGTAAGGTCAGAGCTATAGCTTGGAAAGGTCTATCCGGCAGGAAAAACTCACCTGGGAGGAACTGGGAGAAGGAGTCTTGGTGAGAAGTATTGAAGGCCTGAGGGAGGTGGCGAGTGGATGTGGACGTGCAGAGGCTGGGAGAGGTGGGCCGTGCCAAGTGGCCCCTGGCCTGGGCACCGGGACTTAACGGGGCTCGCTGGGGTGCAGGCAAGGAGGCCGGGGATCTGACGCTGGCCCTCAGTGCTGGGCCACTGAGGAGCTGAACAAATACTTACTCTCTGTTCCTAGCACAGGGGGAAGAGAGCTCTTGGGCCTCCGGGCTTTCATCTCCGGGGCCTTGACATTCTCCTTGGTCGGAGCATCTGGAACAGAACAGGTAACCACAAACATCAGTTGGCTGCTGCCCTAGGAAATGAGCCGAGGAGGCATCTCAATAAAAAAATCCCACCCCGACCAAAATTAGAGCGCCCCCCCCGCGTCCCGCTCCCCGTTCCACTCTGGGGGCCCTCAGTGCCTGCCAGGGGCAGGGGGCACCTTCCTCCCCAGGAGCACCAAAGAAGGAGCGTCCACTCCACTGCGCCTTATAAATCAGGTGGAGAGAGCTCAGTCGCCCAGGCAAGACAGATGGACAGGCTCTCGTGGGAGCTAGTTCACACGTTCCCCTCTGTGGCAGGCACGTGCTGCCAGGAGTCCTGCCCTGGCAGAGCTAGAGCAGAGTCAGTACCCTCTGCTTACCTCTCTCCCCTCTGTTCCCTTCACTGGGCCTTCACTCACTCGAGCGCACCGCTCTGTATTTCCCAAAGCCTGCTCTGCACAGAGAGGTCTCTCACACAGGAGGAGGAGGGGACGGGACCCATGCCCTCGGCTCACAGCCTGAGAGGCGCCTGCACTTTCGGATTCCTCAGACTGCCTTCTACATGTGGCCGCTGACAGACCCCCAGACCAGACGGAGGCCTCGGAGCAGGCAGCCCATACGCCTCCCTGGCCCCTGTGTAGAGCCTTGGACCCATTATGGGAGTTTCTATACTCCTCGTCAAAGTAGACCCCACGAAACCCTGTGGAGCTGTCAGGGTAGACCTGAAATGGGATATGCATGGGTGCACGATTCTTTAAGTGTCTCCTTCACCTTCCCCGTCCACATTCATGCCAAGTGCGGACAAGGCCAGGGGAAACTCTCCCTTGTCAGGGCAGCAGAAAAACATGGCGCTGGGCTGGGCATAAAAGGCCTTATTGGGCCCGAGGAGACTGGGCTTCAGGAAGTTTTGGGGAAACCACCCAGGAACTTGGATAAGAAGCAGCTGGTTAAAGAGCTATCACTATGTTCCAGCATTTTCCCCAGGAGCATTTTCCCCAAAGGGAACGCTCTTCAGGGATGGCTGGGAGCGAGCCTCCCCCTCAGAGCCCCTTCCTGCCATTCCCTTTCCTGCTCCTGACAGAGGAAGCTCAGAGGGAGGAAGGAGGGGGTGGGACTTTCCAACCATGCTTGGGCCGCATTCCTGTGGCTTGGCTGGGGAGGATGGGCCATCTTGCTGTCCTGCCTCCTAGATGGGGCAGTCCTAGCTGCTGACACGTGCCCTCTCCGAGGCTGGCTCCTGGGGGTTTGCAGGGTGGACACAGGTTGCACGGAACTAGGGCCTGGGGACAAACCCTTTCCCAGCACATGGACTCCTGATACTCCCATCTGGATGCATTACTCCTTCTAGATGGTATTTCTGTCTCTTTTCTGCCCAAGTAAATCCCCCGACAAAGAGTCAAGCTTCCTTCCTAACCGAAAGCCTGCCCACTCCCAGCGACAGCTGGGTAATCCAGGGACAGAGGCCTGGTGCAGGCACCGTTCAAGCTCACCAGCAGCTCCGAGGCACACGGGCCTCCGGGGCTGGGGAGTCTATCTCTTACGGAAGGAAGTGAGCCAAAAGCTGTACACATGTCACTACAGGAATGATGAAGCGTAGGCCTTAAGAAGAGCTTCCTAGCAGCCGGTGTATGACAGGGAATGGTCCTGAGGGGACACAGCCACAAGAAGTCCTTTCAAGAGCACTTGATAACCTGGCCCCCTTCCCTCCCTCCGTTCCTCACTGTTATCCTCCTGCCGCCTCTGTTAGAGCAAGAGGAACCCCAGACGGTGAGTCAGGGATCCTGCCTTCTGCTGCTGACACTGCCTGTGTCTGGTCTCCTCAGCAGGTGGCCCATATGCCTGGTTCCGTGTGCATAATGGATGGAGGAGCAGAAAGTCCCACGGGGAGGGGATGGGATGATTTCACTTCCTCACACTGGGTGTTTTCCCCAGGCTTAATGGTCATTCCCAGCTACAGAAAAATCCTCAGTACACATTTGTCAACCTCTGCGGTCCTCAGCGTGGGCTGCCCATTAGCAGCACCTGTGCCCAGGTATCTCACTCCCCAGATCCTGGTTTCATTGGTCTAGTTAGGGGCCTGGGTGTCAATAAGATCCAGAAGCTCCACGGATGATTTTAATAGGGCACTTGTCTCTCTCTTCAGGCCATGTGTGTGCGCACGTGTCTATATGTGCGTACGTATGTGTATGTGCCTGCATGTTGAGAGGTGAGGGTGGGGCCCAGGGAGGGTCTCGGGGACTAGTCTAAGACACAGGAATGCCGACCAGAGCTTCCCCTGATGTCTGCAGATCATGCCATACTCCAGGGCATGGGGTGGGTCTAGGATTCCCTTGTTTAGGGCCCTCCAATCAAGACCTGACAGGCACCAAGGACAATTTACAGAGAGCTGCACCCCAAAATGTGTTTGTTTCCCCTTTTTCAAGGAAGAGGGGGAGAGAACCAAGTGTGCACAGAGTTCTACCTTCCTTGGCTTGAATACTCCCTTTGCCCGTCTTTCTTCTGGTGAGTTCTGGGACCTCACAGGAGGGAGATAAAGAAGGATCAGGGTTGTTGTTTTAACTGATGCATAAATGGAGGCATAAGCCAGCAAAGGATGAGAGGCCTAGTGTTCCTGGGTCCCTAAAGAAGGGATGAGAGACTGAGTTCCCTTCTCCCCTCACAGGGTTGTGTTGGCCTTCGCCTCTAAGCATCCTTAGAGCACAGACCCAGAGAGGAGCGTTCTAGTTTTGGTTCTGTCACCAGCAATCTTGGGATCACAAGCAAATCATTTCAGCCACTCTGGGTGGCTACATCTGTACAAAGGAAGTAACACCTATTTTCTCTACGTCACAGTGTTAAGAGACTCAAAGGACAGAATGTATCCAGTAGTGCTCCGGAAGGGAGAAAAGTGGATCATTTACCTACTAACTCATTCCTCCTGCTTACCACGTTTCCTCACCTCCCTCCAAGTCTGCTTTAAAATTCTCCACCTTCCAAACGCCCTGGCTGACCAGCCCCCACCCATGTTGCCCATTTCCCACCTCTGCGTCTGTCCTCAGCTTCTGAGTGCTGGCCTGACACTGACGTGTGAGTACACTACCCTGTCTGTACACTGAGCTTTGTTTTTAGAAGTTCTGTGCACTCTATCTTTCCATCTGACCATGAGGAAAGGGGCTTGAGTTTCCCTTTCAAGCCAGGCACACCCCCAGACTTGGAGCACCCCCCCACCAGGGGTGGGCCTGGCCTCCTCTTCCCTTGGCAGTCCTCCCATCCCGCGGGGGCTGTGCAAACACCACAAGCCACTAGCCCTCCGTGAGAACAGCAGCGAGGGGCAGGCTAGAGGGACCGTGTGCTTAATCAGAACCAGCTTTATGATTACACGGCTGCCCAGGGGATAAAAATAATAGTCACACAAGTCTAAGAGCAGCTTGCATTTTCTATTTTAATCAGTTGGTGATGAAACCGGACTCCATTTCTAGATTGGGGCCCCAGGGCTGGAGTCCATGGCTGGCCTGGTTGTGCCCCCAAAGACGGATGGGGGAGGAAGATGGCAGTATGGAGAGGTGGGGGGCCTTGTCATGGAGTGGAAAATGTGTCCTTATATGGGCAACGGCTTACCCCTTCCACTCCAGGGCTAGTTCCAGACCCAGCCCTCCTTCTGTCTTCTCCAACAGGCTGGTTCCCTGAGATACAAGCCCAAGGAAGGGGGCTTCTAGAAGGGGGTCCCAGCTTCCAGGAGCTCCATGAGAGGGCAGGGCAGAGGGGCTGGCCTCCTCCTCTGCCCGAGGGCAGGCAGCAAGCCGGCATCAACAGAAGAGAGGGTGCTCCAGGCGGGAGAAAAGTTCTCTGGCTCTGCTGTTTGGGGCCTCTGAGCCCTTGGGCAAGCTCCCTGACCTTTTCTGAGCCTGACCTTCACCAGGAACACAGGAATCACAGCCCAACTGAGTGAATGGGCTGGGTTACTTAGTTGTGCCTGGCACGATGCTACGTGCTTTAACTGCTTACTTCAGGTTGAACCACAGCTTTGGCAATACTCAAGTGTCTTTGGCCCACCGCAATTTTATTTAGTTCAGTCTAATGCATGTTAGCTGCCAGTGACGACTGGAAGGACAAATGTGAAAGTGGGAGCAAACTTGTTACTATGGCAAGGACTCAGGCCAACGAAAGAAGGATGCATTGAAATCTGCTCGGTCAAGATCAGAGATACCTGACGGTCATGGCCGCAGGTGGCGCGGTAGTGAGGCTCCAGGGCTCGCGTTTAAATGCCCAGCCAGCTAGTCATTAGCTGTGTGGACTTCAGCAGGCCACTCAGTCCCTCACGCCTCAATTCAGGCTTTTCTACTGCCACCCCACAATCCCCCTTGTCACAGTTACGAATCACCTCTGGATTGCCAAACCCAATGGCCAGTGCTCAGGCTCACCTTACTCTCCTTGGCAGCCACATCCGATGCACTGATCCCATCATTCCTTTCTTACTGAAGTGGCCACCGTTTGGCTTCGGGGATTCCGCTTTCTCCGGGATTTCTTCCTATCCCACCATGCCTATTCCTTCTCGGTCTCCTCGGCGGACCTCTGTCCTGCCCTCCTTCTCTTCCTGCCCCCTCCATCCACATCCACCCTAGGGACCTCGTTCAATCCCAGGACACTCGGTGGCCTCTTGTGTGGACAGCTCCCCATCTCCTGCCTCCAACCCCGACCTCCTTACCCAACTCCAGGTTCATCTAAATGCCTGCCTATGTGACATGCCCACCTGGATATCTGAGGGACATCTTAAACTTCACAGGGGCAAAATTCTTCATTGCCCCGCCCCTTATGCGCCCATCCAGAAAGTAGTACCAGTGTTATCTGTGGTCCTGTATGAAAACCAAGTTGCCTCTCACTTCCCTTTTCTCTCTCCACTTCCAATTCATGAGTAAATCCTATCCGCTCTTACCTTGAGAATAGATTCTGAATCTGATCATTTCCCCCCTCCTGCATGGAGTCTAAGCCAACATCAACTCCTGCCTGGGCCATCCCAGCAACCACCCAGCTGGTCTCCCTGCTCTCCCTCTTACCCATCCTGGGTCTGGTCACCGTGGTCACCTCTGGTCACAATGTCCAGAGCTGGCCCACCACACTTAGAATAACGTCCTGTCTCCTGTCACAGCCCATGGCCTTGCAGATCTCACTGCTGCTCCCCCTCACCTCACTTCCCACCTCTCAGCCGCTGCTCACGGCTCAGCCCCCCAGCCCTTCCTGCTTCTGGGAATGCATCAGGCATAATCTCCACTCAGCGCTTCTCTCTCACCCTTCCCTCTTCCTTCCAGACTCCTTCTGGCTTCTTCAGACCTCTGTTCCACCGTCACTTCTTCAGAGAGGCCTCCCAACCACCATCTCCAACAGTAACATTCCCGTCCCCACACCCTACTTAGCTTCCTTCGTAGCACCTGCTACTGCCCGAGATTAGATGATAGACCTGTTCAACTGTATTACTGTCTCCCCCTTACTGAATGTAAAGTCCCTGAAAATAGGAATCTCCTTTTTGTTCTCTGCTTTTAACCTAATCCCTAAAGCAGTGCCTGGCACCGAGATGAATGATGGCCCACTGGAACATCACCTCCTCCCACACATACGCACAGCCCTCCCTGGTCACAAAGCCCTCAGTCTCAACGGTAGCCAAGGCCAGATGCCCTCAGCCAGGGTGGTTGGGGAAGGACAGCCTAAGCTGCCCTGTCCTGGGATTTTGGCCTACGAAGAGTTTTGCTTCCCCACCTCTCACCTGGGTCTGAGAGGGAATGGGCCACTCAGGCCAGGTTCTGTGTGTGGGGACAGGACTGGGGACAGAGAGACAACCAGGCGAGCAGCCCCCTCCTGTCGGCCCAGGGCAGGCTGCAAGGAAGGATGGAGGGACTTCCCAGTGGGAAGGGCTGTGACTAAGGGAGACCCACATGTCTCAGAGTACGTTCACTGACATGTTATTCACTAGACAGCGAGGCCATGCTGGGTGGTGGAAAGGGTAGCCTCCAGACCCAGACACACCCAGGTGTGAGTCCTGCCGAGGTAACTTATATTCTAACTGGCTCCAAGCACACGGGCTTTGGGATCAGAGACACCCAGAGTCGTCCCTCCACCTCCTGCCCTGTGAAAGTCAGTGTGACCTGGGAAAGTTGCCAGCCCTCGCGGAGCCTCAGTTTTCCCACTGAGAGATACCCTGCCCAACTGTTGTATAAACTCCAACGCACGAGGGTCTCTGGCCACAGCACACCTGGAAGGTCAGCTCTTGGGTGAGTTTTCTGGCAAGTCCTTCCCCACTCTGGGCTCAGGTGGTTTTTGGGTGTACATTGACACTTGCCTCCTGCTACACTTGGAAGGAGCACGGGTAGGACCAGAATTCAGATAGTGCAATAGAACACCCTTTCCCTTGGGTAAAAGACCCCCACAGCACGATTAAGAAAGCCGGACATGATGAATTATAAAAGCTACCGCCCTCTTTCTTTACTATCAGTGGGAAAAACAGGAGTACGGCTAATACTTCGGCTAATAAACCAGAGTCCTCTTTATGAGGCCCTAAAATGTATCATTGAATTGGCCGCAGGTTGATAGTCTTAATGGTGTTTGGTGCCGTGTGAGTGATAGCTCATGACCATAGGGGGCAGGGCCGGCGTGACGTCAGCATGAGCTACAGCCCCCTCCTCTAGTTGAGAGGGACCCTCTGCCCCTTGAGATGGATGTAGTCCTATCCAGAGGCTGAGCAGGCAGCTGAAGTTGGAGAGAGACAGGGAGACCCCACAGCATGAACGAACTTGCAAATTCGGTTACTCCCTAGGGCAAAGAGTTCTTCCATGTACTTTAACGTATGGCTTCTTTCGAGAATAAAACTATGGGCTCTCTCTTCAGAAAAATGCTCTAATCTACAAATGCACAAAATTCTGTATATCATTTCAAAGGGTGCATGGACCGCCCCCACCCCCAGCTGGGATCTTTAAGTGAGGTACAATGGCCTTGGGGAGCAGGGAGAGCTGGAAGGATCAGGGGATGGAAGAAGGACTCCTCAGCCTGGCTGCTGGCTGGCTGCAAGGTAACAGGGAAACTATAGTCCTTTGTCTAGAGGTGGCTCGTGAGGGAGAACTAAAGCTGGACAGGGTAAGAAGGCCACCCACATGTGGGGCACTAATACATCTCCTAGTCCAAGAACACGGAAAAGAATGGGTGTGAAGGGGGCTGCCCTTTTTCTCCTTGAAAAACAAAAACCAATTAACTGAGAGTTATCTCAGCTGGTCTCCCTCCAATCCCTTTGCTGGCTCTTCTCTTAACACCCAGCCCCTAGTCCACAGCCCTAGGCAAAACTAGAGATAAATAAGGGTGATCAAGATTAGGGAGAGTACCAGGGAATCTGGTAGAAGGAGACCAGCCTAGGGGCAAGAAAAGTCCCATAAGTTGCAGAATGAATTCCCCAAACCTTAAAAAAAAAAAAAAACCCAGATGTATTCTATAGGGAAAAGGAAAATTTTATTTTGAAAACAAAGTTTGCTTTTAAAAATAAAACGTCTGCTGTTTCTCAAAAAGGTGCTGACATTTCGCAGATAAGGAGAATGAATTACTATCCTTCCTTTAGCTCGCCATGTAAATAGGACCCGAAGAGTCCAAGGATTCCAAAAGCAGATACCCTCAGGAGCAGGCTGGGCTTCCTTCTAGATTGGTCGGATCCAGCAAGGGTCCCAAGTGAGGGCTGGTAGAAACAGGCTTTTGGGGTCACGTTCCCAGAAACACTTGTTTTTTTAAAACTGTGGCATCTGTCTTAAAAGAAGCAGGAATCTGACCTGGGAGGGTGACAGCCAAGGCACACACAGGAGTACTGGACAGCAGCAGCCCGCACCTAAAGCCGCAGAACACAGGTTTCGAGCCCCACTTTGAACAGACCATACGTGGATTTACCAAATCTGCTCTGGAGACTCAGAGCCCTGGTGACAAACCCAGCACAGAACTCCAGGGAGACCCACACAATCCTCTACCATCTCACCTTTGCTGCTGGCTATTGACTACTGAATTTGTTTTACCACTGTATTTTTTTTTTTTTAATGTCTCTTTTCAAGGCTCTTTTTTCTTAAAAAAAAAAAAAATACAGGTTCTTTTTCTTTTCTCCCATTCCTAATCGATCACCAATCTTGATTTTCATGGCCAGGAAATCTGATTCTAAAGCTGAGAACGGGGACTCAGGGTCCGCATCTTGGGGAATGGCAGGGAAACAGGATGGGACTTCATAACCCAAGTGATTATATTCCGGAGTCAGAAGAACAACAAAGCCTTTGAGTTGCCTTATTTGGATGCTCGTTTTTCACGTGTCACTCATAGTTACTAACCAGGCATTTCAAGGGTAAGAAATTATTTCCCCCACACTATCTTTTTCGACAGTTCCAGGCAAGTAACGAGATAATAAGGAAGGGATCAGAAGGCCCAAGATGGGGTTCTGGCCCTGGCTTGGCCTCTGCTGGACCAGGGAACTTGGAGCAGGATGCTTTCCTTCTCCACGGCCTTGGTCTCCTACCCTTTAAAATGAGGGCTGTAGCCTCGATCATCCCAAGGCTGGTTCCACTTCCGAGGCTCAACTGCTTAACTCCAGACCCAACAGAGAAAGAAGAGTCATGGACACAGTCTGGCCTCAGCCTTTCCTCACTCAGAAACTCCACTCAGACCTGGGAGCCCTTGGCCCCCACGTGCCTCCTCCTCTCCCTCTGCTGAATTACGGTGACTTTTTCTCCTCACAGAAGTGGGCCTGCCCCCTCTACCCCAGAGACGCGGCCTCAACTCACCTCCTCGAGGAAGTGTCCCCACATGGACCTCCCGCCACTCCGTCCTCACCGTAGGGCTGACCTGCCAGCACGGACACTGGCTTGTTGCCGCTTGTGAAATACTATGTAGTCATTTTCCTGTGGGTGTGTCTTTTCTCCTCCTGCCCTGTGCCTGGCTTCCCTACTCAGCAAGGCTCTACGTGTAGGGGTCAGGACTGGGGACGGGATGGGGGGTGGGGACAAGCAGGCGAGTAGCCCCTCCTGTCAGCCAAGGGCAGGCTGCAAGGTCACACAGGGCCATCAAGGGCTGCTCCCCATTCTCCTTTCTGTCTCACTGTTTGCAAATGATGGCTTGACCCCACAAAGCAAATGCCTCCAGAAGGGATTGCAGTCTTGGAGGCAGTTCTGTCAAGGCATGGCTGTCAAGGGAAGGGCTGAGGAGTGGGACTCTGTGTGGCAGTGAGGTGTGGGCGTGACCTACCGTCCACGGTGACTTGGCAGGAGCACTCAGCCTGGCCGGCGCCATTCTTGGCTATGCACTTGTATAAGCCTCTGTCCTCCGGCAGCGCCTTCTCGATGGAGACAGAGCACAGTGAGCCTAGGAAGGAAGACGGAGAACGGTTGATGGGAGCAGGTACAAGCCCGATACTGGCACCTGGAATGTGGCGGGGAAGGGCTATTCACATGAACAACCTCTGGAAGCCCAGAAGTCAGGGGTCCTGTGGGAACCAACCGTCTCTCCCTCCCAAAGGTAGGGTACTTTTTGCTGATAACCGAGGTCCAATATATTCCTTCCCGGGACCTTCTTCCTGCCTCCCAGAGAGCTCTCTTAGGGAGACATCATGGAAAGGTGCCGAAGAAAAGGGTGGGATCGTGTCTGCCTTGGGAGAGCCTCCCACACAGTAGAAGGAGCAGAGAGACCACGAGCCTCAGACTGCGATGCCACCAAGGAAGATGAGAGTTCGCCAGGCACAAGTTTACGGACCTGTGTCAGGCAGAGTGGCAGGAGCAAACGCGACACCCAGTTACAGCAATTATTCTGGGAATGCATCTTAGAGATGGGAATTCTGAATAAAGAGGTGGGTGAGGGAAGGCAGGAGTCCCTGTCCAGCAGGGGCACTGACCTGGGGTGGGGGCAGTCTGCTGGGAGGAGAGGGTATATATAGCCTGGCATCCTGGGGCTGGCTTCTCAGGAATGGTATGTGAGCTGAGAAGCACGGCCAACCAGGGGCACTGGTCTGAGAGAGGGGCACTCTGGGGTGGCCTCCCTTCAGGACACCATCTTTCGGTTGCCTCAGAGAGTGGTAGCGAAGCCTTTCTTCCCTCACGGGTCTCGCCATGCCCAGCACACTTGTCTTCTGTCCTGGTTGGGGGAAGGACGAGTCAGGCTGGGCAGGCACAGGAAGCAGGGGTCTGGCTACTTCTGTGGGATACCCCCTGGGGGGATTTCCCTTAGGGTGCAGGAAAGTCCAACTGAGGGCCAGGACCACTGGGCCAGACAGGAGGGCAGTGGCACCCTAGCGCCTGCCTTCAGACACACAAACAAGCCAAAAGCATGGCGCTCTGCCCAAAGCTGCCCCTGTTGTCAGGGCAGCAGTCATGACACAAGGAAGAGGACAGAGCCAGGGCCACATGTAGCCTGCTGCCTGGAGCTACTGGCTTCGGCCACCTCACTTCCTCCATCTCCTACTCCCCCAGCCAGTGGCTTGGCACAAACTCTAGGCCTTGGGTGGGTTGAGTGGTATGAATCCCAGGTGTGTATGTGGGGCAGCGTGGCCAGAAGGGAGGCCAAAAGGCACCAATCTCAAAAAGTACCCTCACCCCCATTAGGCAGATCCCCAGACTTGACCAACAGATACAAGGATACTCAGAGAACCTCACTAAGGCCAGAAGGGAAAGCAGAGGCATACTAGTTCCCTTTGCTTCTTGGCACCTGGGTAGTATCCTCAACAGGGAAATGTCGTCCTACCAACCACCTCCCTCCTACTTACACAGAGCCCATTTCTCAGGAAAGGCCTCCCTACGTTCTCCCACCCAGGGGGACATCGAGTCGCGATCTCTGCTCACTGCCCTTGGGAGACAGACTTTGCCGACGCTGAACCAGAAAGGACTCAGGCTGGATTTTTAGGAAATCCATCATGGGAGGGAGACTGTGAAGCACAGGAATCTGGGTTGGAGGAACTGTCCTCTCTAGAGAGAAGCTTCTACTCATCTGAGAGGGCAGGAGGATGCTAAGATGATCTCTGGTCCCCGAATTTGAGGCTTAGAGGAAAGTACCCCGTCTTGTCACCACCCTTCAGTCTGAGGCTAAGGCTCTGTGAGCAGACACTCCACTCCTGGTGAATATTCTGCTTTTGAATCCCTGCCGGTCCTTCAGTTTCAGCAACCCCCCCCGCCCCCCCCCCCCCCCCCGGCCCCAGCTTCAGCCTTAAGCCCAAATGGCACCAACTGCAGAGACAATGGTGAGCCTGCCAGAAGTTGGGCATTTAGACCACAGCTCTCAGCCCCTCAGCCAGGAACGCAGCAGAGCGGGGAGCTCTTCCTGCTGCCCAAAGCCAGGACCCCTGGCCACATGCGTGGGCTGGGGGAGGGGCCCCCAGGCAGGCTAGCCCAGATTGAAAAATCTGGTATTTCCTGTGGGGCAGCTTATTCCTGACCTCCAGGAAAAAAACCCTTTCCCAGAGGTTTTGTTTTTGTTTTTTTGTTTTTTTTTTTTCTTTTTAGAGAAGCCTCAGCCTGGTGGGGAATTTTGAGAGGGAGGTGAGGGGGATGGGAGCAGGCAGCATAGAATCAGAGATCTGATAAATGGCTCAGCTTGAACTGTCCCTGGGAGAGCCTCTTGGGGGCATAGGGTCTGAAGATCTCCCATCTTGCTCCAAGTGTGTGGAAAGAGGGGTGGGGGGGGCAGGGGGGTAAAGGTGGCTCAAAGTCCTGAAGGCTATGCTCTGAGGAGGCCCTCAGTGAGCGGTGCCTCCCCAACCTGGTCCCCTAGGAGGTCTGGACAGCACAACTCAGCTCCAGGTCACCTCCTCAGGGATGGTGCCTTCCCTGTCACCCATAAGCATCCCCAGCCACAGACAGCCCTCTTCTGTGCCCTGAGTTTCCCTTTATCCAAACATGTCTCCCAAGGCCATTGCTGAAATGCATGTCTGTCTCCCCCACTAGTTCTCAGAGGGCAGTGACTGTGTCTATTATGAATGTTTTTCCTGAGCCTGGAATGCAGTCACAGTAAAAAAAAAAAAAAAAAAAAAAAATCTGTCATTCTGAGAACAACCAGGGCACATTTTTTATAGCAGGTGATTTTGGGAGGATCTATGCAAGAGAAAGTCAGGAACATTTAGTCACATATAACCTACCATTGAAAAAGACCATATAGGATTTTTTTTTTTCTTTTGAGAGAGAGAGAGAAAGAGTGTGTGTGTGTGTGTGTGTGAGGACAAGCTAGGGAGAGGAGCAGAGGGAGAGGGAGAAGCAGACTCCCTAATGAGCAGGGAGCCTAATCCCAGGACCCTGAGATCATGACCTGAGCCAAATGTTTAACCAGCTGAGCCCCCCAGGAGCCCTGACCATAGAGTTTCTGAAAGGAAACAATTCCGACCTCAGAGTTCTTCAAGCAGATTATGCATACACAATACTGCCTTGCACACAGTAGGGGCTGCAGAAATCCTAGTGTTCTGCAGAATGAACTTCCATAGGTTTTCAAAAAGTCTTTGCCAGGTCCCACACTAAAGGTGATTAAAAATGAATCATCTGTTGACAACAGCAACAAAAGTGAATTCTCACTAGAGTGGGAGCGATGTGGGAGCAATGTTTGCCAGCGAGAGAAGCCTGGCCTGGAGACAGGAAATAGGGCATAAAGATGAAACTGCTTCTCAGGAGCAGCACAGAGCTCCCCTTGGCTCACTGGCCATCCCTCCCACTCTTCAGTCAAGGCCAAGGCCAAAGCCTGAGGAGCTCAGATGCAGAGCCCAGAAGGGCCTGGTGCAGTCCCCATGCGGGCCCAGGGGGCAGGCCCAGCCACTGTAAGTGGACACCATCTACCCTGTGGCTCTGGGAATGCAGAGAGGGGAAGGGTATCTCCACGTGTCCCTCCGGCCCCTGCAAATTAGCAGTCCACTCCAGCCGACTCCTGTCACACCTCTTCTGCTCTCCTTGATGCTAAATGGGGTGGACATGACCACGTTTTGGGGGGCCTGCAGGCTATGAGCCCTATCCAAGCTACAGGGTTCCGAGTAGCCTCGTGAACCTGTAAACTGCGTCCACCAGCAGGAGGTATGTGGCTGTACATGCCAATGGGTGGGGGGAAGGGAGCGCAGGAGTCTCTCATGGCCAAAGGCTGGTGACAACAGTCTGGCAGGGAGAGCAGAAGTCAGGTTTGTTCTTAGATGAGCTAATAGCACAGGGCAGTGCAATGAAGCAAGAAAGATTCCCAGCCAAGGGGTGGGGGTTGGTGGAGAGGGTGCTGAGGGCAGTGTGAGGACGGGGAGACCCCTTAGCTATCCCCTCCACCTTCCCCTCCAGACCACCTCAAACAACCAGCTGACTGCCATTGATACCCCTAGAAGCATGACCCCAGTCACCCAGACCCCAGCACGCAGGGGTCCTCCGCTGCTTCCTCTTCTTTATCCGCCCCCTGCTCCCAAGCCAAGCAACAGGTCTCCTAACTCTGTCCTTGCTTCTTGAACTGGTTGTTTCCTATCTGTGCCATGGCTACCTTCTTAGTCCAGTCCCCTTTACTCCCCCACCTCTTCAATAGGCTCTTTACCCTTAAGCCCCCAGCTTTATGTGCACTGCTCCTCATTCCAAGCTTTTACATTCCTAGTGCCTCCAGAATCGAGTTCCTTAGCGCGACCTAGGAGGCTGTGGGCCCTGCCTTCCTCTCCAGCCCTCCCATGCTGTGAGCAGGCCCACCTCTGCTGCTGCTAGAGCCCCTGCCTGGGAAGCCCATAGGTCTCCTGGAGCCCCGGCCTGGCTCACTCAGCACCAGCCTTTCCTGAGGCCCCAGCACTCAGCTCCCTCTTCTCCTACGCCTCCCAGCTCACCTTCGGCACTTGGCTGGAATAGGTTTATCACTGGGAGTGTGTGTCCCCTCTTTCCAGATCTGTGGAGAGCACATCTACTCACACCTCTCCGCGTGCCCGGCTCCCTGCAGGGGGCCTGCGGAAGAGGTCACGGATAAGGCTTCCAGATGGGCTTTCTCCCTGGGGTCTGGGTCTAACCCAGGCTCTTAAAGACTTGGGAGGGTGAGGCTCTGGAGAAGGGACGGACAGAAAACGGGGCTGGTATTTTCAGACAAGGTATTCTCCCTACTGTGGCAAGGCGGACCGGTCCCTGTCAAGGCCTGCGTCCTCCACTACAGTGAAAATGCCGGAAACTTGGCAGGCCCAGAGGGCCCCACCAGTCTCCCAACCTCTTCACAACTACTGGCAGGGTTGAGGAGTTGACAGGCGTGAGCAGTTTCCCTGGCTGGACAATGCTGCCAGTGAGCGGGTCCTGAAAGCTCTCTCAGCCGCAATGGTGTGTGGACATCTGACAAAAAGGGGCTAAGAGGTAATAGAGCTTAGTGGTCTGGATGTCAGAACTCAACTGCCTACATTCAGACCCCAGCTCTGTGACACCTAGCTGAGCAGCCTTGGGCAAGACAGTGCATTTCTCTGTGAAACGGGCGGGATGAGATGAGTGAGAAGTGTCAGAGCCTCAGACGGTGTCTGGCGCACAGTGTTCAATTCATGCAAGCTATTCTTGGTTTTCAAAGGAGAATTACAAATATTTAGAATATTTTTTAGGAACTGAATTTGGGGCTGTCTCTCTGCTCCTGGTCCTTCCCATATCCTCTCCTTGTGCTGGCCTTCTTTTAATCATGTCTTCTTCCTCTGATTTGGACCTAAACTGCCCCTTTGAGCTGGTTTCTGTGGGAGGTGATACTGGAATAGCCCTTGCTCAGTGACAGGAGATGCCACAGACTCAAGGCCATGGCTCAGGCATGTGTTTGAGACCAGGGCTGAGGTCTGCTTCCGTTGCTCAGCTGAGGGGATGGTTTATAAGCAGCTACGAGTGCATCTACAGGCCCCACACAGGTCTCACGGCAGCTGCGTGGCTCTGGGCACTGTCCTCAGCTGTCCCAACATCAGTTTCCCTGAAGAGGGTGTAAGCACAGTCCTCCCTCCCACTGTGCATATGTCCCAGGGATGGGCACCTGCCTACCATTCATCCTACCTGGAGAGCACCATGGGGTAACCTGGGAGACGCTCCCAGTCAAAGTCTCAGACTGGTTCTACCAAAGGCTTTCCAACTGTGAGGAGCCCACAGGGGTGACAGGGAAAGTGCACCATCCATGGGCCCAGACAGCTCACCCCACTGTAGCTATCCCCCATGCCCACCTGTGTGTGGACCACAGGGAGGCTGAGCTAACAGAGGCAGGGGGGAGCATGGTATGCCTTCTGGAGGACCCTACCAATCTGGAGATATAGCCACACAAGAAAAGTTCTCCTATAAGCACAATAGCAGAAAATGAAGCATCTTCTCTCTCCTGGTCAATCTCCCCTGAATCTTCTAGCGCTTAGATCCAAATGCTCAGCTCTTCCTGATTTGCTGTCTGAGTTGCAGAATGAAGACAGAAATTTCATCCTGGTCTGAGAGGGACAGTGCTCTCTTCAAATGCTTCCTTTGGGTTTCAGGAGGAAGGAAGGAAGCCTGATGAAGGAGGGGAGGTGGGGGGTGCAGTCAGCAGACAGAAAGAGGAGCAGCATGGTGTGGGGAGTTTCTGACAGCTCCGCTGATCCTGATTGCACAGGACCTGTCCACTTGGGCCTCTTCTTGCCTGCCGCCCTCCACCCCTTAAGGGTAAAATGCCACCTCCTGGGGAACTTTGTACCCTGCCCTGTCCAGAACCACCAGTATCAGCCCCTAGCTCAGGCCAGGCTCTGTTCCAGCGCTGGCCACCAGAGTGTGGTGTGGGAAGTCTGCCGGACAGGGAGCTCCCATACAGGCTTGGGATGCTTGGCTGAGACATTTCAAACCAAATTGAAGGTCCAGGGAAAATGCCCCTCTTACCCCCATCTCTTCTCTAGGTATAAACTGGCCCATCTGAGAACTCCAGACCCCAAAAGGCCCCAGATGTCAGCATTTAGTGGCCCCCCCTTCTCCCCACAACCCAAGAATGTGGAACACCAGCAAACAAAAGTCTCATCCAAATTAGGAAGCGAGTGGCTCTGTCTGCCCAGGAGAGTATGCCGTTGGGGCTGTTTGGGGTTTTGGCCTTCCCCCACAGATCCTTTCAAACCCACAATGTTATCAAGACTTAAGTTGTTGTTGACCCCAAATCACAATCCTGTGCCAACCTGTCACTGTACACCCTCTCTAAACTTAAAATCCCGCTGCGAAAGCAGCTCTCAGCTCCGAGCCCTGGGTGGGCTCAGGTCCCCCGGCCCCCTCGTGCCTGCAAACGGAGCCCCCTCCATGTCAGAGCCGTGGAGGTCTAGCTCAGGCCTAGGGCTTCTCTGAGGAGCCACAGCTGGGGCTGCCATGAAGCATCTCACCAGACAGATGCCGAGGCCCAGGCATGTGCCATAGGACCAGACACCCACCTCTCACTGCCCAGTGATGGAGTGTGTGCCTGAGGGCCCGGAGCAGGACACCTCTCCTGTCAGGGAGGGGGCACAGAGGCTGGCATTCCAGCCTAGGCTCTGGGCTGTGAGAGGCAGTCCACAAGCCCAAAGCTCTAGGAGCCTGCAGTGGACCTGGTACAGAGCCCACTTCTCCCCAGCCCTCGCCCTTGTTACCTTCTTGTGAGAGGATGATGAACTTGGTGGTCTTGAGTGTCTTTCCATTCAGTGTCCAGGTGATGGTGGCTGGGGGGTCAGAGGACACCTGACACTGGAGTAGCAGCTTCTCGCCTTCTGTCACACGGACATCTTGTAGCTTCTCCTTGAAGGTTGGGGCTGTCCCTTGGTTCTCTGACCTGTTTTCATTATCTGTGGCTCCTGCTTGCCCCCTCCTACAGTTCACATCATTCTTAACCTCCTTCTTGAGTTCTTCCTTCCCAGCTGGTTTTGGGGTCTCAGCAGGCTTGGCGTTGCCCATGGGTTTTAGGGTCTCAGCAGGCTTGGCGTTGCCTACGGGTTTTGGGGTGTCAGCAGGCTTGGCATTGCCCATGGGTTTTGGGGTCTCAGCAGGCTTGGCATTGCCCATGGGTTTCGGGGTCTCAGCAGGCTTGGCGTTGCCCATGGGTTTCGAGGTCTCAGCAGGTTTGGCATTGCCCACAGGTTTTGTGGGCTCGGCAGGTTTGGTATTGCCCACAGGTTTTAGGGTTTCAGCAGGCTTGGCATTGCCCAAGGGTTTCAGGGACCCTAAAGGCTGGGCATTGCTCACGGCCTTGGGACTTTCTGCTGCCTTGGCATTCAAGGCCTCAGCGCTGTTGCTACCATTCTCTGCTGGTAATTTCTTCTTGCTGCCTAACACCGAGCGGAAATCTGGGGTGGCAGGTTTGGGAGGAGGTGCCTTCTCAGGCACCGGGGTCTTAGGAGTCCCCTTTTTGGCTAGGACCGAGCGGAAGTCGACCTGCTGAGGGCTGTGCACCTTCCTCTCTTCCTCTGACACGGTCTTCGGCTTCACCTGCCGCTGCAGGTTGGCGCGGAAATCCATCTGCTCAGCTGGGATCTCCTTGAGGTCTTCTTCTGACACCGTCTTGGTACTCACCTTCTTCCCCAGGAGGTCACGGAAGTCCAGCTGTTCCACCTCGTGCTGGCGGATGGCCTCCTCGGTATGCTGCCGAGTCTCCACGCGCCTCTTCAGCAGCCCCCGCACGTCCTCGCCGTCTTCCTCCTCCGGCCAACCCTGCCCTCTCGCAGGCCAGCCGGGCCTCAGGGTCCCATAGCAGTCACGGCCACCACCATCAGCACCGGCTCCTGGGCTGCAGAGGCCCTCACAGCTGGCAGGCTCCCTCCCCCTGCAACCAGTGAAGGGAAAAAGGAAAGTAGCAAGAGGAAAAGGGGCCGGGTAAGAAAGAACGTCAGGGGAGAGCAAATCCCTGAGGGAGGGAGGGTAGAAGGGAGGGGGAAGGGGAGGTTGGGGCTGACCAGGCTGTGTTTATAGAAGGGAACATTGGTGAGAGGCTCTTGCTTGCTTACTTGGTTTGTTACATCGGTAATGACTTCAGTAGCCTTATAAGGGTGTGTGCAAAAAAAATAAAATAAAATAATAATTCACCCCCCTCTCCTCCCCTGCTCTCCCTCCCTCATTCCCCTTCCAATCTCTCCCTCTTGGCTCAGCAGCCTCTGCTGGAGGATACAAATAATCTGGGGCTGCTGGGCTGGGCCTGCAGGGGCCAAGAGGAAAGTGGAGCGGGTAGATGGCCTGGGGGCCTGGCCGGGCACCTCCTGGGGGCACTCACCGCAGGGGGGCTCTGGTGGGGTTGCTCTGTAACATCAGTGACACCTGGCAACTGCATTCGCCAACCCGGTTCCTGAAGGATTTGAGAGATGGATACATATCAAGAGGCTCTGGGGCCAAGGGCCTGCTCAGCCCAGGGCTGTGAGGAGGGTGGGGCAGGCAGGAACTTGGCCAGAGGCTGGCCAGTTTACTCCAGGAAAGAGGGGGCCATGGGCTTAGCTGTGACCCCAAATACCCAAACAAGACCTCGATCTAGGGCAGGCCCTGTCCCTCTTTGGTCACCCTCCTCCCCACCCCAGCTCTTGTATAAAAAGGAAAAGAAAAACCTTCTGAACAACAGCTTAGATGGACATGCAGAAGCAGGAATACTTTTCTCTAAGTATATTACAAAAATAATCCAATCACTCAATTTAAATACAATCACTCAACACTGAAGTCTACACCTGCCAGGGTGTGATGGGGCTGCTGGTCTAGTCCCTGCAGCCCTGTGTGGTGACCTGAGTCTGACTCCATGCTCCCTCAACACAGAGGTGGTTCTGTCCTCTCTGCACAGGGTCTCCCCCGCCAACTGCTCCTTCCCCTGCTCAAGAAGTGAAAACACTCTTCCATCCCTCCCCATCAGCTAAAAACCAAACAGATGTCTTCCTGCAGGGATGACCCTTTCTCTCCTTCCTTCAGGTGGGGAGGGCTGTGGAGTCTTTGACCCACTGTTAAAAGTTAGTGTCCCTGTGGTGTGGCTAACTGAAGCTCCTCTGCTCTTGCTCCTGCTTGCGCGCTGCCAGGACTTAGAGCCCTCCCACCCTGCATGGCTGCCATCTGCTGGCGGTTCTGAGCTCTGACCAGCCAAGGTTGTCCAGGCAGGGGGAAAGTCGGGGGTGGTGGGTAGCACTGAGAGCCAGAGGCGACTCTTTATGGTGATAACCTCCCATTAGAGACAGGGCCCTCCACCTTTCGTTTTTGTGCCTAAAATGCACCAGTGACGTATGGAGCACCATTCTGTCCATTTTAAAGGTTCAGGAAGGAGACTCAGGAGTTTCTCTGAGGCTGTGCTGGGGCTCCCAGGTTCTCCTACTCATTCCCCACTGTGTAACCATCTTACTGGCACTGCCGGGCCCAGCACGTGCCTCAGATCCTACCACAGACGAGCCAAGTTCTGCAACAGGTGCCTTACATAATCTGTCTCATTGCATCTCATGACATCTCTGGGAAGCCAGCACTGGTTTTATAAGGAAAACAAGGCTTCTAAAGGTTAAGTCATTGGCCTCAGCTCACAGAGCCAGCCAACAGGAAAAGGGATTGACACCCAGGTCTCCCTGAATCCCGGAGCTGTAACCTTCCCCCCTCCGCCTTGCAGGGCTCGTCAGTACCAGTCTGCTGTGGGGTGTGTAATGTGTGTGCATGTGTGTGCGCGCACGCATGCACATGCCTCTCTGTGGACGCGGCCATCAACAGCACACATGGATACGTACAGATACAGGGCCTTACCTGCTGGCCTACTGCACCTGCAGGGACGCATCTGGAAACATATGCATAGGCACTGTCATCCCTCCACGGACAGCCCCCCAAGCATGTGTTTACACAGCCCTGGCTGATGTATGTGGCTCTCTACCTTGCCTGGCCTGGCCTCCCTCCCTGTGGAGGGCGAGGTCCAGATCACCCACTGGCAGCCCCCGGCACAGCAGATGACTTGCAGGGGATCTGGGGTGGGGGGGTTGCCGCTCATTCCCAGGCAGGGAGACCCATTTGAAACAAGGAGAGGTTGATCTGGGCTGTCCTCCAACCCTCCTCTCATCCGTTGGGGTCCCCTCCTGGCCACCTTTGTCAAAGCTCAGGCTCTCAGAAGGCATCGATTCAAGGTTCAGGGAGCCTCAAAGTCTGGACAGTTGCAAGGGGCCCGCGGCTGCTCCTTTGCTCAGCAAACAGCGGTCAGGTGCCTCCTTGGTTCCAGGCCCTGGGAAGGCTAAGAGGCCCTCAGGACATCCTGAGCACCTGGCACAGAAGGCTCATGGGGCTTTGGGTCAACTTGTAGAATAAACACAGAAGGTCATTTGTGGGTGAGGCCCAGCTCCCTGGCACCCCACTTCTGCCAGGCCGCTGGCCAGTATGAGACCATTCATTCCCTGCTTTTCTTTCCAACACAGGGTGTGGGGCCCACGATTGGTGAGAAGCAGAAGGCCAGGAGGCCAACGGCCGAATTTTCCCCGCTTGTGCTCTCCAACATTGCCCCAGCTGAGTTTCCTCCTGCCACAGGTACGACACAGCCGGATGCAAAAATCAGGAGCAGACGCCAACCAGATGGCCACACTTTACCCCAGCCGAACCCGCCAGAGGCTTTAAATGGTGGGGCAGCCCATCCCCTGGGTTGGAGTGAGCTCTAGCTCCCCATGGGGAAGCAGGAGAGGGCTTCTGTTGCTGTCCACCGCCCGCCCTTAAGGAGGGAGCAAAGGTGGCTTGCTGTTTGACCCATCTCCATGCCTAAGCCTGTGGCACCTGGGGAAGTCTGAGAGGCAGACAGGGGTGGAGAACTTGGGATACCATGGCTGGCCCACTAATGTAGGGTCACCATTTCTGCAGCCATAAACTTAAATCTCTGCTGGGCCTTTAAGACAAATCATGGGTTCAAACAGGGTCTACCGAGGTCAGAAAGGCCTTTGACCTGGGACCCACATACCAGATAATCTAGCCAGCCAAACAGCCTCTTGAGACCATCTTTGGGATCTGGATCAACATATTCAGTTACCAAGTAAGGCCCAGGGCTGAGGATGAGGCCCCATGCCCAGCCCAGGTGCTGCCAAAGAGAATATATGGGGCCAAGACCCCAGGGGCTGCACCTTTTACAAAGTAACGAAACCCCTTCCACTCCTGCCTCCTAAATCCTGAATGAGAAGCCCACTCTTTTGTTACAAAGCCTTGGACCCTGTCCCACTCTGAATCACCCTCCCCTGGAATGGGTTTTACACGTAAAATTAAAGAACTAATTTCCTGGCAAGTCTCAATCTTTCAAATATTTCAGCTGGAATTTGGAACTGACTTTTTGACATTTCCTCTTTTAGTTCAGGAGACAAGCATTAAGGCAGGGGAGGCAGAAACCATCCAGCCACAGCTGTAGCAGGGACAGATAGGACCCCCCCCCGCCCTTTTCCTCCCAGCTATCTGGTCTCCCTCCTTGAAAGGCATTCTGTCCTGGGTCTAGGGCTGATTTCTGTCAGGATGAGAAAAGCTGGAGGGGAATGGGGCCCTTGGCAGACCTGGCACATATTCCCCAGGAGAACTTTCCCCTGACTTGCTCCTTAGCTGAGGACAGAGCCAAGGCCACGGCAACAGCAACCCCAAGGAACGAAGAGGCTGGACGTTGGGGAGAGGGGAGGGGCAAGGACTGAGTGAATAGGGAATCCAGGGCAACCTCCTGGGTTCCCCAAGCTCCCATGCACTTCGGAGAAAAAAGGAAAGGGAGAGAATCTGATTAAAACGATGAGGGTTCCAGTCTGGGCTCTGGGCGGCCACAACCAAATCCATGACCCTGAGACCTTGGTTCCCCCCATCATTAAACAATGAGTCGGCTAGATAACTTCTGAAGTCCCTTCCAGCTGGGACAGCGTAAGTTTTATGACTGTCCCCAGCTGGGCCCAGACAGTCTGCCTGCCGACCTCCCAGTGCAACCCTCCACTCTGGCCTGGCAGACTTCCCACAGCCCTTGCTTTGCTCTTCCCTACCCTTTCTGGCTCAGAGCTTCAACGTGCCCTTGACAGCCAAGCCTTTACTCATTTGCTGAACCTCTGCTTATTGTCCTCAAAATCCCACAAGGAGCTTCTCTCTTCTAGGATGTTTGGCTTAAATAATGTGATTATTGTCCCGTAGCACTACTCCTTCCATGGAGACAAGCTCCAGACTCATGTGTCATCCGTTTCTACCATTTGTACTGGCCTAGGTGAGGAAGAGTGTGTCTCTTCTCTATTCTGAAGGCAGATGTGCCTTCCCAATACTAACTGGTTTGGGTGTAAGGCAAAGGCTGCTGGTGTGTTCTGGGCACACTGCTGATGGTAGCAGGATGACCAGCCAGTCCACAAACCATCTCCACAGCAGACTACATACACGGCATTAGCTCAGCTGAGATTTGCCAAGCCTTACCCAGCTAGGCAGAACTTCCTAGTACATCTAAAGAAATGATAAATGACAACTTTTTTTTATAAATCCACTAAATATTCGAGTATTTTGTTATGCATCAAAAGCTAACTGATACAAGCATAAAGTGCATATCCAGAAAGGACCCAAGTGGCGGGCCACACCCTGGGTTTTGTCATGATTATAGGAACAGGGCTCAATCATGGCAGTAGCTTTTACATGGCACGTAGCTCAGAGCCTCGAACACGATGTGCTGAGTACAGGGAAATGATTTATCCAGGGGAGCAAGCCCCTTGCAAAGGGGCCAGGCACCCGAGCCAGGGCAGCTCCAAACAGCTTTGTCATGGGGCACCACATCCTGTTTGCAGGGTCAAGGTCAGATGAGCACTCTTCAGTGCTTACAGCAACCCGAAGGGCTGGCGCTCTGTCTCTGTCAACCCAGGGCTGGCATGGGATTTTAAGAGTTAGAGCATTTTCAAGGTAGAAGAACATTTCTGGATCACTTTCATTTAACAAACAGTGAAGGCTGACTCTGGGCAGTCACTGTTCTAGGCACTGGGAACAAAGCAGTGTATCTTCATGGAGCTTACCTTCCCATATAATCTAGAAAACCTTAAACAGGAAGTGGGTGGGGGGAGGAATGAACATAGTTAACCTCCCTATAGTGGTTTTAAATGTCTACAAATTCTTTGATACTCCCCTTTCCAAGAGATGGCACCTAATATGGCTTAATAACTTACTTCTAGCAAACAGAATACACAGAAGTAATAATGTGTGACCTCTACGGGGTAATCACAAAAGACATTGCAGATTGTAGCTTATTCCCTCCCATGATCACGAGCTCTGTGGAAGCCAGTTGCCATGTCATGAAGTCATTCAAGCAGCTCTAGGGAGAGGTCCACACGGCAAGGAGCTCCGGCCTCAAGCCAACAGTCCTATGAGGGAGCCATCTTAAAAGTGGACCCTCCAGCCTCAGTCAAGTGTTCAGAGACTACAGTCTGTACCAACAACTTCCCTGTAAAAATCATTCAGCAAAGCTACGTCCAAGTCCCAACCCATTGAAACTGAGGGAAGATAACTGTCATTTTAAGCTGCTTGGTTTTAGAGTAATTTGTTACACAGCAATAGGTAACTAATACACTCCCTCAATCCTACAGCTTTCCCAATTTTAATCCATTCTTCCCTCTTTCATATTCTCCACACACCAGTTCGAGTTTCATGTTTTATGACTGTCCCCAGCTGGGCTCTATATAGACAGTCTACCTGCCGGCAGGAAGACTGTCCATATAGGGGAACAAAAGCCAGGATGGAGTAAGACAGGGGACTCTGGGGAACTGAGCTCAGGATCTGTCAACACCTTCACGTTGAAGCAGGAGAAATGAAAGCTTGTTGGTAGCACCGGGCTTGCCCTTTCTTTCCCTTGAAGCCCAGCCCCACATTACTTTTGGGTTTCCACGGGCTTCCTAATCCCGGGTGGGAACTTTGACAGGAGGGAGGAATGTGGGGGGGTAGTGGGGAGGCTGGACAGACGCACGGACTCACTTGAGCAGGATCTCGTATTGGCCGGCATGCCAAGGCTGCACGTTCTTTAGAACCAGCGTGAACACGCCCTCATTCTGTAGCACCTCGAAGTGGCCAGTGTCTTTGGAGAGGGCTTTGCCATCTCGCAGCCAGTGCACAGTGGGGAAGGGGTCCCCAGCGATGGCACAGGAGATGAGGACACTCTGGCCCAGGGAGGCTGTCACTGAGCGAGGCCTGCTGATGAACCAGGGCTGGGTACCATCCTGAGGCTCTGGAAGTCGGCAAAGGGTTGAATTAGAGAGGAAAGCCTTTCAGCAGACAGGGTCCACTGGGCTCTCCCAGCCAGTAAGGGTCAAAGACTGCACATTACCCAAATAACAGCCGGTCCAGAAATCACTTTTATTGGATATACAGTTACAGCACATTGTTCTCATGGCAAATCTATCTTGCTTATGTTCTCTGAGGATAACGCTGACAAGACGGTATTGTATATCTGAAGCCAGGGGAGGTAGCCTTGCTCACCAGACTAGGGGCAATTGATCTACAATGAGACATGCATAATTTTTTTTAAAGATTTTATTTATTTATTTGACAGCTGGAGATTACAAGTAGGCAGAGAGGCAGGCAGAGAGAGAGGGGGGAAGCAGACTCCCTGCTGAGCAGAGAGCCTGATGCGGGGCTCGATCCCAGGACCCTGAGATCATGACCTGAGCCGAAGGCAGAGGCTCAACCCACTGAGCCACCCAGGCGCCCCAGACGTGCATAATTTTGAGTTGATGTTTGCTTTATGTATCCTTTCCTGGTCTCTCTTCTTAAATACAGGTTCTCTAAAGGCAAGGACCCCAAGGGGCCACAGCTTGCCTCAAAAGCTATCACTGTGCTAATGTAACATTGTATGTTAATGATATTTCGATAAAGGGGGGAAAAAAGCTCTCACTCCCTAACTGTTAAGTATATCATAGGACTTCTCTCCTAGCACTCTATGCAGCGTGTCACCAATGACCCAGAGAACACAAAGACTTCAGAAGGCTCCAGGGCACAGTGGTGCTACTCAGCCAGAGCCCGAGATGGAGCTGGGGAGCTGGCCTTGTGGGCTGGAATGGGACCAGAGGAGCACAGGGGCCGTGGGGGAAACCAAGTAAACTCACATGGTTACCTCACCTCCAGGGTGTTTTGGACAGCCTGGCCTGCTACAGCAGCACCACGGCTTTCCCGCCCCACCGGCACCCACCCCCGACAGCCCCGCAGCCTCACCTTGCACCATGAGCACCGCCTGGGTGCGGACCTCTCCGGCACTGTTCCAGGCTTCACAGGTGTATGTGCCCGTGTCCTCTGGGAACACTTCCTGGATACAGAGGCTGTGCTGAGTGCCTTTCTGCTCAAAGTGGAAGTCCTCCGACTCCTGGATCTCATTCCCATCGTGAAGCCAGACGACCTCAGGGGGTGGGTTCCCTGGAGGAGAGACAGGGCAGGCAGACACGGCAGGAGGTGGGTTCCCTGGGACATGGGGCAACTTTGCCTTTAATAGTGTGACGCTGTACTAAATACAAACCTCTCTATGCCTCAGTTTCCCCATCCGCAAAACAGTCTAACCCTATCTTCTTCATAGGTTTGTTGGGAGGATTGAATAAAAGAATACAGTCCCCCCAGAACTGCCCACTAGAATAGCAGATTAGAGGGATGCCTGGGTGGCTCAGTTGGTTAAATGTCCGACTCTTGATTTTTGGCTCAGGTCAGGATCTCAGGGTTGTGGGATCAAGCCCTACATCAGGCTCTATGCTAAGTGCGAGTCTGCTTGAAATTCCCTCTCTCCCTCGCCCTCTGCTCCACCAACCTAAATAAATAAATAAATAAATAAATAAATAAAACCTTTCGCAGATCAGAAGAGCATCTGGCACAAGGAAAGTGCTCAATGCATATTCATGATAATTATTTAACAGCAGAATTGCGGAAACCAGAAAGGATGGGAAGTGAAAAAATATCGGAACTCAAGCTGCTCGGGAACACGGTACCTGAAGTGCAAACGTTCCCTGCTCCGCCCTGCCCACACAGCACACACACACATCCAGGCAATGCCACGGCGACCTCGTTGTCCCTTCTCTGTCAATTGTCACCAGGAGGAAAAGTCACTTAGCATCTCATTTTGCCACCCTACAAAGGTTGCGTCTGAGGGTGGTCATGGGCGCCAGCTCGCCCAAGATCGCAAACACAGCTCAGGGTGGAGAGCGTTTTCAGGTTTTATCTGTCTGCTCTCCTCGGTAGATTCTAGCAGTTTGGGGGGGGGACATAAAACAATGGCCACCTGAGAGAGCTGCCCCTGCGGTAGCATTGCACTCTGCTTCCTGAGGAGGATGGAGGCTGTGTGGTGTCAAGCTCTCTCTGGAGGAGAGAGAGAGTGGGGTCACCTCTGATGGGTTAGCCAGCATGGATATGGAGCCCAGGAGCAGAGTGCCTCTGATTTCTGTCAGTTTGAGGAGTATGGACAGGGGAGGCAGCCAGGCCTCAGCCTGGGACTATCATGGAGATGCCTCAGGCCTGCAGGTGTGGGGGGGTGCATGCGGATCCTGAAAGGGGGAGCCCATTGGTTTCCCCACTGCTCATCTTTATTATTTCTGCAGCTCAGGATCAACTAAAGCCCAGGAGAGCGGCCTCCAGACTGATCAGTAGTCAGCAATGAACAGGACACTCTGGATAAGCTTGGGCACAAGCTGGTTTAGTAAGTCTGTGCCAGCAGAGTCCCCAGGCTTCTCTTGCTGGCCTCTAGCAGGGACTGAGACAGCTCACGCTGAGCTGCTGGTCAACATGCTCTTGTCACCCGGTGGTTTTAGAAGGACCTCTTCTCTATTTTCTCACCTTAAACTTGAGCAGAGCAACAGGGTATCTTCTAAGATCTGGGAAGTTCTCACATCAGCTGGTTTTGGGCCAGTGTTTGAAATCTTCCAGCTACGGTGACCCCATTATGTTTCCCCACTAATCACCACCTCGCTAGCTGTGGTCATCTTCTTCCTCTGGACCACCTTGAATTAACCTTGAATCCAGAAAATCTTGCCCAGAGGAAACAGAAAAGAGGGACCAGCAGGCTCCACTTCTTTGGGTCCACTGAGAGTCCTGTGCTGACTTTCTGGTGGGGGGATGATCTGAGTAGGACGTGGGAGAGCAATGTGTACACGGCAACCATGCCCGTTTTCACATCAACCCCAAGGACAGAGATGCAGAGACAGACCTGACACCTGGACTGTCATGGTGACGTGGCTTCCATCCATGACTTTGAGGTCGGAGAGGCCCTGCAGGAAGACTGGTGCGACGGGCTTGCTGGGAGCTGCAGGCAGGAGGGACCCGCTCTTCCTGTCGCTCTTCTTTTCTGTGCAGCAGACAACAGAATGGGGGGTGAACAGTCATTTATTCATTCGACAAACACAGACCTGATGACTGCCGGGCAACCAACTATGTCAAGGCTCGGGCTTCCACCAGAGGTAGAAGGTGCTAACAGGTGGGGCACATGGAGAGGGGCTGGAGGTCATAGGAAGGCAGTGAGCCCGTTTCTCTGCTTGGTGTGCCGGTGCCCGTGCCTGGGAACAGGGAGAGGAGGGGCTTCTGTAGGGCCAAGCCTGGCCGAGGCTCTGCTTCCTCCAGAGAGTTTCAATACCTGCCGCCTTAGGAGATTTTTTTTTTAACTTCACTCACCTTTTTTAATACGTGCTACGTTCCCATGGCACCAAATTTTAAAAGTACTAGAGAGCGTGTGTAGTCTCCCTTCCACCCACCCCTGACCTGTGGCCATCAGGCTCCTCTCCCCAGAGGCAACCTATTTTCAATTTCTGGTTCATCTTGCCACAGATGGTCTACGGATATAATACACACAAGCAAATAGGCATACTCTTCCATTTTCTTCTCTTATAGAAACAACAGCACACTCTATGCACTGATGGTCGTCTTATTTTTTCATTTACTGGCGCACCTTGTTGCCTCTCGTAAACCAGAAGTGAAGAGCTTCCTTGTCATTTTCTATGGCCGTGTGAGACTCCACACCCTCCCATGACATTTTAAGTCCCTCAAGAAAGCCAAAAGATACCACACTCACTAGAGGGACTCAAATTAAAAAGACTGGCCACCCCCAGCCCTGGTATGGGTGAGGATGTGGAGCGCCAGGACCTCTCCCACGCTACCCTCCCACGCAAGGGACACACCCTTCTGAAATCAGCATGGCACTTTCTTAAAAAGTTAAACATGCATTTACCATACGATCCAGTCCTTCTACCCCTGGGTATTTGCACAGAAGAAATGAAAACGTGTATCCAGTCAAAGACTTGTACACAAAGGTTCATAGCAGCCTTATTTCTGACGGCCTCAAACTGGAAACAACTCGAGTGGCCATTGACAAGTGAGTGAGTAGAGATTGAGCCGTATTTATGCAGTGGGATAGGACTGAGCAATAAAAAGAAGCAGACTAACAAGAGACACTACAACAGACAAATCTCTGATTTGTCATAATAATGACCCTGAACAAAAGAAGCCAAAGGAAGAGCACATACTGGGTGATTCCATTTATATAAAATTCTACAAAATGCAAAACCTAGGGAGGGCAAGCAGGCAAGCAGATCTGTGGTTGCCTGGGGCTTATGGGGAAGGATTGTAAAGGGGCACCAGGAAGCATTTGAGGTTGATGGAGAAGTTCATTTCTTAAAATTGGGTGAAGTTTTCGTGGGTGAAGGTTTCAAATTAAACACCATGAATATATGCAGTTTGTTGTACATCAACATGATCTTAGTAAAAACTGGGGAAAGAAAATCTCGGAGGGAAGGTGGAAGTATACCAGCTAGTCTAAGACAAGAGCTAGAACAATTCTCTGGGTTCAGTGTTGACCCACTCACCTGTTTCAATTCTCCAGGGAGGTGGGGTCACAAATAGGCTTTCTGTTGTTCTTGGAATGCCCCCCAGGCTGGGCTTGGACCTGCCTTGTGTGAGCCGGAGGGGAGGGGGCAGCAGAGTGGCTGAGCTAGAGTCACCCACGCAGGATGGCCCTGGTGTAGGACGAGCTCGTGGCTATCCAGTCTCTGATCTTGCCCTTTGCCCTGCGAGCCAGGTGGCTTTGACCTTTAATCATTCTGGAGCTTTTTTGTTTTTGTGTTTTGGCAGGGGTAGGGAGGGAGAGGGTTCTCCTCTTAATCTCCTCTAACGATATCTCTAACTTAAACTCCAAGTTTTGGGGGAAAGGGACTCTGGTATTTTGGGTTCTTATAAGCAAGGGCCACATAGACCAAATTCCCGGAAAGCCAGCAGCCATGGGGATACATCTCCACTGTGCTTTATACACCTGAGAAAAATCAAACTCCACATTTGCCACTGAGTTTCTATCTTTTGGGACTAAAAAACAAAACAGGGCCCACTGCAGAGTTGTCTGGGTGCAGCCTCCGGGAGTGAGGATGGGAGATGCTGAGAAGGCTCAGGATGCTGGAGGGAACCATCCCCAGAGGCAGGTGCATTGTGAAGGGCACGGAGACAGGGTGAACCCAGAGTCCAAGACCAGGGATGTGCCCTCAGGTCCTGGTGTTGCCTCCACCCCAGCCCCCAGCATCCCTGCCTCAGTCAGAGGAACAGCTAGGCAGACTAGCCCTTGACCTGAGGCCCTGGGAGTGGGCTCAGGGAGGCCCAGAACGGGAAGTGCAGACATCTCCTTACTCTGCCTAGGCTGCAGTGGCCAGGAAAGCAGGATGCCTCAGGAGAGTTGAGAAATTTCCTGTCCTGCACGGACTAAGACTTGAGGACAAAATGTTTCTGCTTGTCTAGATCCACCCCCCTCCCCCACCCCGTTCCTGCTCCTCTGTTACCTCAGCCAGTCCCCAGTTTTAGAGGTCCACATAGATGGGCATTCCTATGTTCCTACGTGCTGCAGGAACATCAAACACTCCTTTGAGCTGCCGGCGCCCCTCTGTGGCCCCTACCATCTCTCAGATCTGGCCCCGGGCAAGTCACTGCCTCTGTCTTAAACTCAAGGGCCTCACCTGTGTTTAGGGTAATAACAATATAATCCCTGGGCTTTGGGAGCTTTAAAGAGAGAACATGTGAACACACTTTGTAGGTCTACTCAACACCAATGAGACCTTCTGTGTGAAGCTGGCACAGGCACTGACTCGGTCTTACCCGCCGGGGCGGCATTATTGTGGGTTATCAGCTGCAAACAAACAGAGGTGGGGCCCTCACCCAAGGACAGCAGACTTGTTTTGTTCTTACACGACCCGAGGTAAATACTATTAGGAATACAAATGCATAGCTTAAAACTCTCCTAGGATATATGTAAAATAATTTGAGAACAACCCGGTGGCAACCCCTCCAGGAGAGAGATGAATGGGAGGACTGCTCTGTGGGCGCCCGGCCTGGGAGACATGGAGTCCCATGGCACCACGGTCCCAGACCTGCCCTGTGTTCCCCACACCCCAGGCCTGGAAGGAGGGTAAAGGGAAATGATTGGGAGCAAGTGGGCAGAATGAATCTGACCTCAGACCTACAGGCTGGGTCACGTGGGATCAGCGTGACAGAGTCCTGGCTAGGGAAGGGTTAAGTCATGCCTAGCATTCAACCACCCCAAATTCTTTACCAGGTGAGAAACCAACCAGCCCTCCCACAAACACACTTCGCACTGGGATTACGGAGCCATGAGCCATGAGAAAAGCAGTTTTCTGGAAGTGGCCTGAGAAAAGCAGCCCTCACTAGCATCCCAAGACCCTAGTCCCACTCCCACCACCCACTCTCCTGAGAGACCATATCGTGCTCAGGTGAAGTGACCTGCGCGAGGTCACAGGGCGTCATAGGCAGACCTAGAGCTCGTACCCAGGTCTTCTGATGGGAAGGCCCAGATGTCCTGGAGACCATCTCTTGCACGGGAACCACGCTTCTCCGGCGGCAAACTCCCGACAAGAGCAGGATCTTATCTGCTGACCCACAACCTAGACTCTTGTCAGGGGAGGACAGCTAACGCAGAGCAAGGCCTAGCCAGTGGAAAGGGCAAGATGTGTGGACTGCACTGAATTTCAAAGCCAAACAAATTACTGTGTCTCATCTGTGGCCTATGCAGTATGGTGTCCGCTCATGCTCACTCTTAGACAGACTTGGAAACCAGAAGACAGATGGAAGGTGGTGCTCTGAATTTGGAGCTCTGGCTGTCTGACATGACGCAAGCTCCCCAACCCACAGTCTATCAGGTCTGGATGCTACCACGTTGATAAGTGTAACGTCTACACCATCACTATAATGCATGATAAATACCGTAGGGTTGTTAGATGATTCAAAGCAGCAACCTATGTAAGGCAGCTAGAACAATGTCTGACACATAAGAAGTATAAAAATTCATGGGTCTTTTTTGCCTTTCCTGATCCAACTGACCGTTTTTGGTTGGGTGCACTCAATGTGGCCGTACCTACAATGAGAGCCATCCTCCAAACCAGGACATTGCTGTTGAACCAGACAACTCTGGAAGGACATAGAGCAGCCGCCAACAAGGGGACATCATCACAAGAATGGCTTGCAGGGTCTGGCACTTTAAGATTCTGAAGGATGCTCTCAACCCATTCAGCATTATCCTCAACATCCCCAGAGGTAAGGCAGGTTGTGTCCCCACTTCTCTGAGGCTCAGAGAAGGGAGCTGGCCTGTGCTAAGATCCCAGCGCTGACGTGACCCCCAGGGGCTTGGTCTGGACACACTCCCCTGCTGTCCTGAGAACAAAGGGCAGTCACTCAGATTCCCGTGGGAGCTCTCACTCACTGTTGTCCATGCCCAGACTCCCCAGTGCCCCTAGAGAGCTGCACCTCTGGGCTTCAGCTTTGGAGGTTGTCTGGCATAGTCCTGGTCTGAAGCGGGGGTGGGGGGCCGAGTCTGAAGCAAGAGGTCCCCAGTGGCCCAGGGAACCGCCACTGGGAGCCGCCTTCATCTGGGGAGGGCAGGCACTGGTCGTGGCACACAGGTGGCAAGGGAGGGGTCCCCAGGACCCAGAGACAAATGTCTCTGCTCAAATGGGGCCAGACTAAATATACCCCAGGTTTCCCCACAGCTGTGCTTCCTGACACTGCCGAGACCAGGCCTGGAGAGAACCTGCTGTCTGGGATCCAGGAAGGGCCAAGCTCCCTTGATGTACCGGCCTAGAAGTAAAGATGGAATGTGAACTCACCGGGGGCGCCGGTACGCGGTCCCCTGGCCAGTGACTCCGTAGTCACTCACAGACTCACTCTGTCATTTAACTGAGTAGCTAGCTACTGGGTGCCCTGTTCCACCTGGAGAGAAAGGGAACAGACCAAGCCTGCCTCCACGGAAAGACAAGACCTGAGATCAAGAATACTTAGAAGCAGTTTCCCGACAAGAATGATGCC